ACTAGCGTGGCACTTGTTACTACTAGCGTGGCACTTGTTACTACTAGTATCATGGTAATTGTTGCTTTTTGGTCTTGAAATTGAGTCGTCACAGCAGTGAGAGCACTTTTGCTCAGGAAGCCGCGTGATCCACCTTTGGCAAGCTACATGGGCCACACTTCTTGTGCCGGAGAGCCAAGGGAAATTCGATAGTGCAATCTTTTCACGAACGGTTCAGAAGAGCCGATCGTGGGCTTCACATCACCTGCTATTGCCTTCTACTATTTACATGCTACCACCAAGACCATTTCTGCAAATCCTGGAAAACACTACCCCTTTTATGGACTGATGTTTCCCATATTCCTAGGACTCCTAAGACGACTGCCACGAACAAGACACCATCGCGAGATCCGCGCGATGCGCGGTCTAAAATTCTCGTTTCGATTTCGTCTCTCCAAGGTGAGAAGCTTGGCAGTGTCTCCAGATGGCTCCCTCTTTGCCTCTGGGGCGGTGGATAGCTCGGTGCGTCTCTGGGCTATGAAGCCCACTGGGCTCAGGAGAGCCATGAATTTGTGAAAAGCTGCTGTGTGGAAACGAGTTGTTTATGTCTGGATTTCTTCGTTATTTTATAGTTTGGAGGCCGTCGCAAGAAAGTTGCAGGCCAATGCCTGCAGGTTGGAAGCCATCGCCAGTAGGTTGGAGGCTTGTAGGTTGGAGGCCATCGCTTGTACCATCACTAGTAGGAGGCTATCGCTAGTAGGTTGGAGGCGCCATCGCTCTTAGGTTGGAGGCCACCGCTAGCAGGTTGGAGGTTGGAGGAGGCCATCGCTTCTAGGTTGGAGGCCATCGCTTAGGTTGGAGGCCATCGCTCTTAGGTTGGAGGCCATCGTTAGCAGGTTGGAGGCTATCGCTTGTAGGTTGGCCATTGCTAGTAGGTTGCTAGTAGGTTGGGGGCCATCGCTTCTAGGTTGGAGGCCATTGCTCTCAGGAGCCGACTGTCAAAGACAGAAGATGGTGCGAGTATCAGCGACTTCCTGGAACAGCTCAAGAAGCGCCGAGAGGAGGTGTGAGCTCGACATAGGGGCGCTTTCTGTCCGAGTTGGACATTAGTCAACACGCAGGGTGTCTGACATGATTCTGTTTGGAGTAAAAATTGAAAAGCAAGCTCTCTTGTGGGTGGGAAATTATCTGACAATTTGTGAGACCCTGATAGATAGACCTTGTAGAGAGAACCGCACATCAAGGTCTTGGTTTTGTGCTTTTGCCAGGTGATTGAACGTGTACATGAAGGTGAAGGGGACCTTTCTGAAGTTCGAGAGCTCAACGAGGCACGAGAGACCACTGACTAGCAGTGACTAGCAAGCGAAATAAACAAGCACGCAAACCACGAGAAACACATGCGAAACGCATGCGACACAAATGCGAAGCACGTACGAAGCACATGCAATGCATGCCAAGTGCTTTTGCATTTTCAGCGCGGCAGGAGATTGAGACCTTAGAGCAAAAAGCTAAAGAGAAGGGTGATAAGGAACCTTGGTGTGCGATAGTACCATGCTTTCTGTGTGGCCCAAGGATTGGTATCAAAAGCGGTTTAAGCATGACATAAAACTAACCTTCCTCTTCCTTTTAGAATGACATCAAGCACATCTTCTGATAGAAGTGATGTGTAACAACCGTGGCCCTGACCTCTTATCTCTCATTGATCTCAATTTCATTATGAGTCCCTTGCAGGTACCTTTCTAGAAGCTGCTAGGGGCTGCTGGCATCGCTGCTAGGAGCAAGGACGCTACTAGGGGCTCCTGGCCTTACTACTAGTAACAAGAGGACGCTACTA